TTTTGTATCTTTTAAGGGGGGAATCGGTTTTTGGGAGAACTGTACAAAAATGACATGGTGGAGAAAAATAGCTTCCATGATTACCGTATATTAAGGCGGAAGAAAAATAAGAAAAGAGAAGAGGAGAAAAAAAGGAAAAGGGTGCAACTAAATCCCTTGATTGAAGGCACAAATAATGAATTTGGGAGCCTTTTAAGGTGGATTGTATATATTTCGTAACTAAAATATAATTAGGTCAGCTAAATACTAAAACATGGACATTTTTCATAATAAGGTTTCAAACAGTGTATAGGAATGAAAAAAGAGAAATTTTCATAAAGCACTATCTTTTAGTGGTAATTAGTTATCTATAGATACCATTTGCTATATTACGGATTGTAGATACGTTTTCTGTTGTTATAAGATGTATTAGATGCATTTAAGCTACTGTATTCATGAATACAGTAGCAAAAATAAGCGTGAATCAGGGAAGTCCAGTTAATCAGTTGTTGTATTCAAGTGTATTCGACTGTATTCATGGCGTGAAACATGGGATTACAGCTGGACAAATTATTGTATTCGACTGTATTCACGGCGTGAAACAGGAGATTACACTGTTTTTAAACGGAAAGTGAATCAATTAACATAATAGACTCCTAATATAACTCAACAAACTCAATTATAACACACAAAATTTGATTTCCTTGTATAAAAAAGATTCTCAACCAAAAAATACCCCAAAATATAGCAATTTTCAGAGAAATTATATAATACATCTGAATACATAAATTATATTAATTAAAAAAATATATGAATACATTCATGGCATATAGCGAGATAGTGAATACAATGAAATACATAGAATACAGCGGGATACATTGAAATACAATGAAAAAAAAGACAGTGAATACGATGAAATACATGGAATACAGCGAGATACATTATATTACAATAAATAAAAAACGACAATGAATACAATGAAATACATGAAAATACAGCGTGATACGTTGAAAATACATTGAAATATATTAACAGAAAATCAAGTTGCTCAGTCCCGAACTCTGTCGTCTTTATTCAAGAACAACCCTGATTTCCGGCGAATCCGCCAACAAGCCTAATTTTCGGCTAATCGACAATTGCTATCTCTTGTTACTGGTCTCCCTTGGATGATAATATCGAGGTTTCTTTGCCTTCTGGTGAAAATTATTTTTCTACTACTATAAAGGGGGGAACAGGTTAAGAAAGAGGAATATATTGGCAATTGGTTTGTGAAAAGCAGCGGTAGGGATTTGGTGGAAGAATGGCGGAGTGTTAAGAAAGAGGAATATATTGACAATTAGTTTGTGAAAAGCAGCAGCAGGGATTTGGTGGAAGAATGACGGAGTCTAGTTCAAGAGCGTTGGCGCCGGAGAATAGCCCAAAAAAATAGGGAAGAATGGCATGTATCAAAGTAGAGAGAGAAAGAAAATAGTGTAACTGAATAACGTATTTAGTGGCTTAGGGGTAGGAGGTAACCAAAATTAGATATTTTGCTATAAACATTAAAAGGTATCTATAGAATATAATTTTTTCAAATGGTATTTATTTAAAATAAATAAGGTGTTAACCTTTGCTATAGGAGGTGAAAATTCCATGAAAAAATTCATATTACCCTGACCACTTGTTCTCTATCATGAATCTTCTAAACTAAACTTTACTTGGTTTTATTTAATTAATTAAATATGAGAAAAGTTTAGGAAAATAATGAAGAAAGAAAAAGAAAAAGCATAGTGCTTTAGAAGCTTTCGGTGTAAGAGATCAGACTTTCATGTGACATGTGACATGTGACATAAGAAGAATCTGTTTTGTAGTTTTTAGATCACAAGATTTTTTATTTTATTAAAGCATGGGTTTAGGCCTTTTCCATTAGACACCTTAGTATGTTTTATGAAAAGAAAATCATTAAGATTTTGAATTTATTCTTTTATTAAAGTACTTCTATGTGACATTTTTACATTTGAAAAATCAAAGAGGTTATTTTCGATTATGAATTAATTATTGTAACATATATTTAGCCGAGGGTATATCGTAAATAGTTTCTCTGTCTTTGCAGGGTAGGTGTAAGACTGTGTACATCTTATACTCTCCAGACCCGACTTGTTTGAATTCACTAGGCATGTTATTGTTGTTGTTATTAGTGTAACTTATATGCTATTTTTTTGTATAATTTATAAATAGATAAATATTATCTTAAAAATTTAAAGATTCTATATCAAAATAATGAAAGTTAAATAATTTGGCTCTCGTGTATCTTGGAGGAAGTATATATTTTTAAAAATAACGTTTTAATTAAGCCGACCTAGGGGACGTGCCACAACGAAAACAAATCCATTGCACCAATTTTTATTCTCCTAGCTGTGCCCTAACACCATAACAGAACTGATTAAACATATATTAGTAAGGTACATATAATTGAGGTTAACCTCTAAAGATACCAATAATTATGTCCCTAAATCATCTATATAACACATAAACTAACCTAAGATTGATAAGAAATAAAGAAAGAAGGAATACATGAAGGAGAGAAGGGAATCCAAAAGGGCACACAATCATTGAGATTGTGGCCTAGCTAGTACTTAATGAAATTCATGAAAATTTTAAGAGATTAAAGTCTAAATTAATGGAGGTCAAAATGTCATTTCTTTATCTGTTTAAATCTTTGTGAGCATAATAATTTTTAAAAATTTGAGTTGTTGATATTCATATCGAAAGGAAGTGACAAGTACCTGGTTAAACAGTCAAAGCACACATAAAATATCTACAACAACAAATTCAGTGTAATCCTACAAAGTAAGATTTGGTTAAAGCACACATATAAAATTGGAATGTTATTATAATAATTACACAACTAAATTATTTATAGAGTAATTATATTATGATAAATATGATTAATAATATAATAGAAATGACAACTAAATCTGTCATCCAAGGTTGATTTATATATATATATATATATATATATATATATATGAAATTACAAAAAAATTGTCACAATTAAACGAATATTCATCCTTACACACTGAAATAAAGATTTTAAGTTTGAGATTTGTTTTTCTTTTTGATAAGTCTTACGTGATGTAAGTTTAAATTTATTAATGTTCTATATTGATATCCGGTAAAAAATTCTATGCTCGAAATATTCCGTATTTACGGAAGAGTCGAAGAACGGTCGCACCTAAAGAATAACCTATTCACATGTAAATATTAGTAATTCGATTCAATAATTTGAACGACAAATAAAAATGACAATATCAATAAACTCAATAATTTTTAATAAGTGGAGTCTAAAAAAAATAAGATTCGCAACTTTAATCTCACGCCGGAAGAACAAAGAGATTATTTCGGATAGACGTGCAAATCACAAATAAGAAATAAAAAAAAGATAATGGCGTTCATCATAGAACCCTACATGAGCACCGCCTCTAGGCTCTAACTGATGATCCCAATGGCCATGATCTTTAAACCTTTTTCAAAGAATCATCCTATCTTCTTTTAATTCTTTTTAATGGAATCTTGTTTGAATTAATATAAACAATAAGGACACAGTTATACGTGGAAACTATATGGAGTGAGTCACCAAACATGAACTGGGACGTGGTAGTCTTCTATTACAACAGTGTGGTCGTTACTCAAACGGCAAATTTCCTTGTCCTTTTCAACTTTATCCTCCAGCAGCCCATTGTTTAATATTAGTCCTTACTACTTTATAAAGAAATTGAAAAGCTTTTTATTGCAATTATATCCTTGAGATTTTGACCAACTTACACTTTGTTGCCCTAATAACCATGATACTCTCTTTTCTCCTGCTTGAAAGTACGAATTTTGACATATTTTGGAAAATATATTAACACTAATAACATACCCAATGAAAATCCACATGTGAGGTCTAGGGCGAATATAGTATACACATACCCATACCTTGTGAAGAGAGAGACGTTATTTTGAATAGACTTTCGGCTTTAGAAAAGCATAATCCTAACGGTCATGAAAATTAAATACGATAGTGGAGATGCCATTAAAAAAAACAGTAATAACAACAACAAAAAATAAAACAACCGAAGTAAAAGATAGCCGGTAATAACAAAAATATGAATAAGAAAATACGAGAGTAATGTTAATATCTACTGTTATGGAGAAGAAAAACGCGCGACGAGTTACTAACCTACTATCTTAATTCTCGACCTCCATCCTCTCTATCAAGAATTATATTCTCAGTAAGTTGAAGATGTGTCATATCTCGTATAATTACCTTTTTGAAAAGTACAAGAAAAAGAATAATAAAACAACTTATTCGAGATATTTATAGAATTGAAACTTTGTAAATGTTATGAAACAAAATTGTGAAATAGTTGGATTTAATATCCTCGTTGTTCGATTAGACTAATGCAAATAAACTTCTTAGTGTGTTCAAGTATTTCATTTGGAACTATACTTTTGGTGATATTACAAAGTTTTACAAAGTTTTCGTGAGAGTCAATATTATCAAACATATGCGAGTACATCGAAGAATGTCAACATAAATTTCTTAGCCATTAATTAGCTAGATAGAACTTTAATTTAGCGGCTAATCTCTTTCACACTATCGCGAAAAAAGAAATTCTACTAAATTATGTGCGCATAACTCCTCGCCATATCTTTAAGTCTATGCTCAGAATCTTAGATATTTTGCTTATTTAAAGTTAAAATTTTAATTTCATTAAAATACTAAAAGAAGTATCTCGGGAGTGTGTTAGGACATAATGTGCCAAATTTGAGATTTCTTAATCATCAAGTAAATGCGTCAACACAAAACTAACGCGCATCTAGGGCCAAAATAGAATTCTAAACAATCTAGAGGGTCAGCCATGTAATTAAAGCTAATTAAGATACCCCACTAAAATATTAAAAACAAAAAATAAATAGTTCCAAGAAAAATAAAATAGAAATAATAGTTCCGTGATTGCTATAAATACGTACCTCAAGTGAAACTACGGTTTGCCAAATCAAACAGCCAAACACGGCTTATAAGATACTCCTTCTCTCTAGATTCCTCTCTCTCTCTCTCTATAACTGTAAAAGCAGCAAAAAATGGCGGTTTCTGCTCGGCGATCAACCGGACCGGTGCTACGTTCACTTTCACCTGCCGAAAGATTTTATTCGTCGAACTCTAGGACGACGTCGTCTTCTGCTTCATCAATACGGTTCTCTCTGGACCGTGAGAGTTCTTCCCCAAGCCGGTCTATTTCTGTTATGAACCGGGAGAGCACTACGAACCGGCAGTACAAATCTATGTCTTCTCAGAAGAAGATGACGTGTATGTGTTCGCCGACGACACATCCAGGTTCATACCGTTGTAGTATGCATAAGAAAACGGACGTTCGAAGGAGCAGTAGCAGTACTCAAACAGTATCGTCGTCTTATAATTTGAATTCGAACCGGTTGTATACGAGGCGGTCGGCGATGACAAATTCACTTGTACGACTCGGTACTGTTGAAGGCGAATTGGTGAAACGAGCTTTGGCGGCTTTGATTCGTCCGTCGTCTCATCAACAGCGCCGCCGTTACGGTTTTCAGCGCCGACCGAGCCGGCTTTCCAATATGTATAGAACCGATGATTCTGCTGAATGCTGACCTCAGCAACGATGAAGTGACGTCAGCTGGTACAAGGCGGCGGCGAAGCATAGCGGCGGATCGAGTGACTGGGTGGAGGTCGGAACGGAACGGTTTTTTTGTGTAATCCGGTCGGCCAAAAACTTAAGATCCGACTGTGTATATATTAGTCTTACTACATGAAGAAATTTATATAACATCGAATCATCCAGTTTAATTCTCCCGTTGATTGCTTATACGAGCTTCTAATTTTATCTATATCCTTAAAAAAGACATACAGATTAAACTTTAAGGACCAAATTTGCAAGCGATATTGTACTTTAATGACGGACGTTCTGTGTTTAATTTACAGCACTCGGACTGATTTTGGACGGTCAAGTTTCGGTTTATATCCTTTCGGTTTAAATTATGCTAAAAGAACTTATGTTTTTAAAAGATTAAGAATAAATTTAATTTGTTGAAATTGTTGTTATTGTTTTAGTTTTTTTTGGTAAATTAGGAAACCTACAGGTCCGTTCTATGTAGATAGGTAGATTCCGCTCTAGTGTAATAGCTTGTAAATTATATTGAAAAGATCTCTAGTGTAATAGCTTATTAATTTATATTGAAAAGATAAATTATACTAGGTAAGTTCCGCAATGACCTCACATATAGGTAATTTTGAACCCGCGACTTCCTATTTGGGGATCCCTTTGCTCAATCCCGCGACTTCCTATTTGGGATCTCTTGCTCAACTAACCCGACCTCCAAGTATTGTTGTTATTGTGTCACATATGGTTTATTTAAGTTGTGTATTTTTCTGCCCGTTAGTATTATAAATGTGTGAAAGTGAGAATTATTTTACTCGTGATGAGCTTATAAAAATTTGGTTTCGTGTCGTTATTACTCCTTCCGGTTCACAATAAGTGTTCAATTTATTTTTTTATTTTGGTTCAAAATAAGTGTCCAGTTATGTATCACGAAAGAATTCAATTTGTTTTTATAAAATAACCCCTATGTACTTATTCCTAAAAAGTTTTCTTACTTCTCACATTAAATATTTAATTAGGGTTAGTTTAGTCATAGTATGTATTTTTATATAGAATTTTGTATTTCCTTAATGGTCGTGCTAAAAGTAAAATGAACACTTATTGTGAACCGAAGAGAGTAGAGAACAAACTTTCTTCATTATATTCCGTGAGCAAACGAAACTTGTTGATTGTCGCGTTCCACATTTCAACGTGTATTTGGTGTACAAATAACGGACTAAGAATTAAACTGGTTCGTTAGCCGACGCAAGTAGTTATAGATAGGCTACCTTTCTATAACAGTATTTCTATATAATAATACTTTACAGTAAAATTTAAACTTTTTTGAAATTAATTTTATTTTATAATAATATATTTCTTTATAACAACACTTCATTATATATCCAAAAATATTCGGAATAAATAAACCTGTTATAGAAATATTTGACTATACACAAAACTAATGACAAAAGCTTATAATTAACTGCAATGCTGTTTGTGCAAATGTGAATTTTAGAAGTGACAAATGAACGTAACGGGTTCCTTTTACTTGTATTATTATTAGATTTATTCTTCAAACTGATTTTTTACTGCTTAGTTAAGTAGGAGCTTTCGGTGCTACATAGTTAATCAAAAAAGAACACAAAATTTTACTTCTATAATAACTTGGAAGCCACATAAATGAGCAAAAAAGAAAAGAAAAAGGATACACAAATTAATAGACGTAGCATAAGTTTGATAATTTCATCTTCATTTAGGGAAATAATGATACTACTATAGAATATTTCTATAAATAAAATTATGTTTTACTCCCTTCGTTCATTTTTACTTGGCAGGTATATTAAAAATAAATTTTTATTTTTACTTATCATTTTACGTATATCAATAGAAGACAATTTCTTTTCCTGTTATACCCACAGTATTTATTATTTATTTCAAATTATTTCTCAAATCCTATAAAATATGCATCAATTAATATGGACACCATAATAAATTATACACTTTATTTATTATTTTTTAAAGGACGTAAAAAGTCAAAACGTGCCAAGTAAAATGAACCAAGGTAGTATATACTGTATTTAAACCTAGTCGACTAATAGCGGTTAGGCATAGTAATAATTGAAGCTTTCTTCTCTTCATTGATATAATTACACTTTTGGCATTTGCTCTTATCGTTTAGTTTTGGATAGGTGCAAACTGATATATTAATAGAAGCTACAAAAAGTAAAAAACAGAAAAGAGTAATAAACCGATGATAACCATAAGTATATATACAAATCGCCGCTTGGCGCATTAAGCTCACGTTACGCACATGTCGAAATTCCAAAAAAATTGAACCACATCTAATTTTGTTTAACGCAACATTATTTTGTAATATTTTTTTTAAGAATTGTTTCTTCCAAACTCGTGATCTCCTGATCAGACGATGCAACTTCTATCTTGCGCGTGCCAGGCTCCCCTTTCACTATTTATATGTATATTAAAAAATTATTTAACTATATACATAAATTTAAAATCAAAGATAAGATTACGATCATATCTCTACTGCTATGATATTACTGCATCTTCCCATGCTTCAGAATCCAAACCCAAGTGTTCAGTGATGAAATTGAGGGCTTGTTCTTTTGTGCAAGGGGATAAGGATATACATTAGTATTTTTTTAAAAGCTTTATTACAATGTCTCATAGGCCATATGTATATTTATATATGTTCAATTTAATAAACTGACGTGTTAAAGAATTTGTATAACATGGGGACTTAAAGATAATTACATGTTGTCTATCGAAGTATAATTAGTGATTTGAAAAATAAAATAGAATTATCTATTATAACAAGTTCAAATACATTGATAGTACGAAAGTTTTTTTTGTAGAGTCGGAGTTTAAAATTTAAATCCTATAAATAATATGACCAAATAAAGCCGACCTAAGCTATATCAATTTGCCATTATCCTTTGCATTAAATGAGTTGCAAATGTCACTATATGAATATTTATTTAGTTTTGCCTTGTCAATATCCCTAGTTAGATTGTTCTTTAGTAAAGCTGCTGCTTCATGGGAATTAGGTCATCATTAATTACTATGTTTCAACACTAATTAATTAACTGGGAAAGTCGATGTTAAAGATATCTACATAAGTTTTAACAATATTGTACTCCCCGGTCCATAATAAGTAAATTTTTTTTCTTTGGCACACCTCTTAATAAAATATTAACTCCTAAAAAGCAAATAAATATTTTGACTAAATTATCCTTCATTAAAAAATTTATATCGCTAACTTGACACAATGGTATACGTAAATAAGGGAAAATTTAAAAAATTAACGTTAATTCATTCTTGATAATGTGAAAATGACACTTATTTTGAAAATAAAAAGGCCATAAGGTCACTTATTATGGACCGGAGGGAGTAATGATTTAATTCTATATTCGCTGTTATTCAATGTCTCCGACACAAGAAAGGGATGTAGGATTTTTTTTTGTAAAAATAGCACGGGCTAGACAGTTTTCGGACTGGGCATTCAAAAATAGCCAACGTTTGTTAAAAAATAGTCACTATTTTGCTGCAACAGGGACAGATCCAGCATAATATACTGAAAATCGATGCACCTGTGTATGAACTTCCAGCATATTATGCTGGAACTCCAACACGCCGAAAGTTCCAGCATAATATACTAGAGATTGGAGCACCTGTGTATGAACTTACAGCATATTATGCTAGATTGGTATATTATATTGGAACTCCAGTATATTATGCTGGAGTATTTTCCGAATTTTGAACAGTATTTTCGTTCAGATTTATCTTTACATAAAATTTCGATTACTTTTGAAACTGTGGCTATTTCTGAATGACCACTTACATCTGGCAATTTTTAAATTTCTCCCAAAAAAAATTCTCATCCCGAGACGCTCCAAAATTTTTGATGATTAAATTTTGTTTTGTTGGCGAAACGAGGGATATCTTGATTGACATGGGCGACCCTTCCCTAAGCCGATAAAGTAACTGCTTTAGGCCCCACATTTATGGTGGCCTATTTTTTGCTACACCTAATCGATTATTATAAATTTTAAAAAAAATTCCGCGAAGTGAAAAAGTGTGTTTTTTTCTTTAGCAAATAAAGAAAAGAAGAATTTGCAACTACTATGATTTCTGCAAAGGATTTTCATTTGAAATAAATATTGACTTTGAATTTCGTAAGAAACATGTGATATATAGGAAGAACTAATTTGATTAAAATATTGATAATGAAATCTCAAACTCTCTCGAAAAATTCTTTGGAGTTGATTACTTTTTCTAGATAGTCAAGGCTATTTTTTCGCTTCAAAATAGATTCGAATAATTCGAAGCACATCAAGATATTTTTGTTTTTTATTTAACGATAAAAAATAGAGATCACTAGATGATGAACTAATCTAGCATATTCCTTATAGCACAATAATTAATCCGATATTGATGGTTTAGATTTATTTTTTGAATTAAAAATATTAAAAAAAATAATACAATTAGAAGATAACAGCTTAATTAATATACTCAATCAAATAAAAAAAATTGATTCCTTTCCAAATGCCTATATTTCTTATAAAAAAAATGTTAATATGTCCTATACCATTGATTCAACAGAAAAAAAAATTCAAAATTAAAATTGATAAATCTTAACTATCAAAATGACTTAAGAGAGGTTAAATGAATCAACTATATTTTCAATTGAGAAAGACTTATTAGGAGAATTTGATTATAAAAAAATTATTAAATAACTTTGCATCTAAAAAGCTAGAAAAATAATTTCAAACAAAAAATAATATTTAAAAAAATAAGAAGTTAAGGCCCATTATAAAGTTTGGCTTTAGACTACAGAATTCGTCGGCCATCCCTGTTGATTGATCGGGGGAGATGATAGGCAAGAAAAGACAAAGGAGTGGACCTAATAGGGGAAGGTTTAAACATTTACTCAATGTGAGATAGGGCTGTGCATAATTTGGTAAATACCGAACTACCATACTGAAACCGAAATTTTTGTATTTGATATTCGATATTTTGGTATTCTGTATGGTATTAGGTTTAAGTTATAAAAATATTGGTATTAGGTATGGTATTTGGCATTTTAAAATGAAAACCAAAATACCGATACCGATATCGTACCGAAATATATTATATTACACAATACGCATATTATTAATTATAACATAAATATAAAAATCTAAAATTTTACTTTCCTTTATTTTCTAAGTGCATCAATTAACTCTAAATAAGTAACAAGACGTTTCTAATGATCAAACTGATTCATTTATGTACAATTTTCTCTCCCTAAGTTGATATTTGCCAGTTTTGGACAAAACTCTTGTCAACAAATATTTTTAGTTTTGTTTTTTTGAGTACTTTAATTCAGAATATTACATTCTATGACTCTATGCACTAGTTAATATTCAAACCGAAAGGAGAAAAATCGAACCATACCGAATTTAATTAGGTACGGTATTGGTATTGCATTTTAAGGAACCGAATATCGAAAATACTGAAACAAAATGCTTAAATACTGTACCGCACCGATCGACGAACACCCTTAATGTGAGATATCACATTGATCCAGGAACCATATAATTTCTTCAATATCTTTTTTGGGATTACTAGCTCGAGATAAAGTATGTAGTGCTGCTATCATCCATAATTACCAGATTAAAATGGTGAAAGGTCATGATAAACGACAGCCCGGTGCACTAAGATCCCGCTATATGCGGGGTCTGAAAAAGAGTCGGACCACAAGGGTCTATTATACGCAACCTTACCTTGCATTTCTGCAAGAGACTCTTTCCTCGGCTCGAACTGGTGACCTCGTTACATGGCATGAGTTCACGCGAGTTCGAGCTGTGGAAACATGCTCTTGCAGAAATGCAAGGTAACGTTTCCCCTAATTTCTCTATCATGCTCCACATGAAACATGGTTCTAAAGCTAGGGTTAAGAAGAGGTGGTCGTAGTACATCGGAGGCAGACCTACGTTGTAGAGAGAGGGGTCACCGACACCTAAAAAGTTCGGCCAAAATTACATGTATACATGTATACTCTTTCCAAAAATAACAATATATTAGTAGTAACACTTCACATACAAAGCATATTTTAGCTGAATGCAAAAGTGCACCCGTAACCTTCAAATCTTAGGTCCGCCTCTGATACGTACTTTCATGTTGCTCGCTCTTTACCAACGTATATTTTTCGGCAGAACATCTTCACTCGGTTTCTTGTTGGAAATCCCAGATTATTGCACAAGTCTATTACTCTATATTATTTCCAATTCAAGAGAGGGAGAGTTAGAGGGTGTTTGGATTGGTTTTCAAGCTCTTCTTATTTTTTCCAGTATTTGGCAAAGTTAAAAAATGCTTAAAACAAGCCAAAAGCAATAAGGTGGGCAACCCCAACTTATTGATTTTTGGCGTAAAAGCTATTTTTGCTGAGAAAACACTTTTTTTAAGCCAATCCAAACGAGCTCTTATTATCTGAAACTTTCAAGAGATGTGTTCTAACTTTCGATAATCAAAAACTGGAGAAGTTTATGTACAGATATAACCCCTTGCTGTTATTTGCCTATTTAGACAAACAAATGATTGTCTATCTACTGTACATACCTGATTAACCTAGCTAATGTCGTCGTCCGGGGATGCGATTTGTCAAGCTGGGGCAATGAAAGCCGTCTCACCCTACGGTATTAGGAATGCCAAGATCTCTCCTTCGAAAGCACGGCGAGGAAAGAAAGAGCTATATATGCTACGGTTGATTAGGCCGATATCTCACAAGATTTGGAAGGGCATTCGCTTGAAGTTTCTTGATCTCAGATGCTGTCACATTGCAATATTCCAAGTCCAACGAGCGCAAATTCTTCAGAGGCTTCAGATATTGCAATCCATCATTGGTGATACAAGAGTTTGAGACATTTAGACATACCAATAATGTCAGTCCTGCATTTTCAGAAAAGATGTCAAAATAAGCTAAAAACATCAACAAAGATAAACAACCATCTTGTTTTCCAACAGGGTCATGTCCTATATATATGAATGATCTGCTATGTAAATATCACTGTCCTCCAAAAAAGCAAAAAAACCATTTCTACGTGTGCAGGGAAGGATCCACCTTGCGACCTACGGGTTCACGTGAACCCAGTAACTTTTGTTCAAACAGTGTAAATGTGTTCAAAAAATTCACTAAAAAGGGTAGAGCGGTGCACTAAGCTCCCGCTATGCGCGAGGTCCTGGGAAGGGCCGGACCATAAGGGCCTATCGTACGTAGCCCGACCCTGCATTTCTGCAAATATTTGAATGTGAACCTAGTTACTATTGAAAATATACTCGAGCGTTGCAGGAACTCATAAACATTAAATCCTGGAACCGCCTCTATCCATGTGTTTGGCTCATGAAAAAGAATCAGGCCCGTGCGTAAGGGCGTATGGAGATACAATATAAATAAGCAATTTAAACTGCATGTATTGATCCTTTGAAGGAGCTTAAACTTTTAAAATGCACTTATATTTCTTACTGTAGCTAGTTGCTTTATAGTAGATTTACATTCATAGGAGGACAGTGTCAGATTCGGCGGATTAAAGATTAACTCAAGTATTTGACGTCTATCGTCGATAACAGGAATCAAAATTATTCAAATTCTAGATGTATATATGCAGAGGCGATGTAGCCTATGTTCAATGGGTTCAACTGAATCCAATATGTTTTACAGGACACACACATTAGATTCTGAACCCACAATCAAATGAGTTTAGTACCAAGAAGTTTAAACGTTGAAGTTTAAATCTTGGATCCGTCTCTGCATATACATGTAACCTAGAGTATAGACAAAAGTACCTGATAAGAGTTCCAAGATCTTATCCGTCAAATTTCGGTTTTTTGACAGGTTCAGAAACATCAGGGAAGAAAGATCCTTTATGTTCTCGACTCCAGCATCAGTTAACACACCACCACAAAGGTCAAGCGACTGCAGATTTCTGAAATCTGATGAAGTATTGACACACATTTAGAATATACTTGAAAAGGAATGAGTACCCGATTACCACTGCATATTGTTAATCACCAAGACACTTGCTAAATAGATATCTCAGTTATGTAGTTTACCAACAATAACAATAATTGAAAAGACTACTGACGGACAATAATCACAAACATCCTACATGAGTTGGGGTTCTAATCATTTCTCACAATGCAGAGTAACTTAACATAAGTCCGGGGGGAGAAGGGGGGGCGGGGGTCTGTACAAACGTAGAAGAGCCTAGAAATCAAATTTAAGATATAGTAAGAGAAGAGAATCGCTGCTTTAACGTACATGCCAGATACTTTGTCCCAGAATCTGTTATGTGAGCTCCAAAGAGATCCAGGTGAGTCAAGCCAGTAAAACCTATACTCCATAGAACAAAAAGAATTACACGCTTAAATTTCTGGCCGCGTATGCCAGAAAAGAAAATTATAAGATATGGCTACACACGCTATTAAGGAATTGATGCGGCGAGTCACATCTCAAAACATAAGTACATTTTGGATTCAGCATCTACTAAGTATTAGCACTTCGTTCCATGCTCCGCACATACATATTGTTTTACTAGATATCTACGACTCTGTCTAAGTAAAGGCTTTCCCGTAACTAATAGAAGATTATGAGATTACGTCTCTGTAAACTGTATATGAACTCTGAACTTTAGTCACTGCCAAGAGCTAATTTTCTAAGGCTTACCTGTGAGAACTGCAAGACCGGAATCTGTAATTCGGCGCACATCCAGATTAAGTGACTTGAGACGTGTCAATCCAGTTAACTTTTGCAAACCATCGTCGGTTACTAAGGTGAATTTGAAATTGAGTTCCTCCAACTTGGACAAACCTAAAATAAATGAAGCACTCAAATCTATCATAACACATGCAAAACAAGAAGTCGATCACATCAAACTATCAAATATTGGCTGCTGATATCTGAAAAACTGAAAAGAATTGACACTGAAATGCACTTAAACACTATCACGAAAGTCGACATAAAAGAGAAAAATCCAATAAACTTGGTCTATGGAAGATGTATCAAAACCAGCAACTACCATAAGAAAATAGCACCGACAAGCTATGACGCGTGGACTTTCCAAAATAATGCCGCACCCGTGTCAGATCCTCCAAAAATACACTACTTTTGGAGGATCAGACACACATGGGGCAATATTTTCAGAGAGTCCGAGTAATATAGCCGAGAAGATAGATGATGAATTCTCACCAAATTCGCTATCTTGCAGTCCAAAAAATTTCCATTTTACTAAACGATATGGCTGTAAATTCATTTTTTAAACCTTTGAAAATGCAAGTAGACAATCACTAAAACTAGTCCAACAGACAAATTACTCAACATAACATGTCTGCAATATATGAACACATCCAGAGGCGGATCTAGGATTTAAGTTTTATGGGTTCAACCTGTAAAGTTTTTACCGTTGAACCCATTGTATTTTTAAAGTTATGGGTTCATATTGCTATATATTGCAATATTATTGAATTTTTACACATAAATTTTTGCTCCGCCACAAAAGTACTGGGTTCAGTTGAAGGTACCAATGCCTTGCATCCGCCTCTGGACACATCATGTCTATCCAAGACACTAAATAATATAGAGCTCATTAGACGAGGAATATTGCTCTAGCACACACTAAATATCCGTAAACTAAATGGAGTATGTAATTTTATGACTTGGCTTTGTTGATCTGCAAAATCAAGAGGACGGAAGGGAGAATCTTTTCGGAGCGTAAGAGATATCTTTACCAGCTAAATGAGACAGTCCATCATCCGTAATCCTACAAGAGTCCAAGTTCAGGCCTTCCAATTTTGTCAGACCTGCAATATCGATCCAAGGAAATAAATAACCAAAAACTATAGAAGACAATTATATAAACCATGTGAAAGAGATCAATCCAGTAAATCTAAAGCTTTGAGATATTTTTTTATGTTGTACTTCAGAAGCATATAGAGAAGGGTATTGAAAATATAACGAAATTTAAAAAATGAAATATAATCCGCGATGAAAATAATCAAAGAGGTAGGACAGACCTTCCAAATAGCCCAAACATGCATCCGTGATGTGGTTATATCCCAAATTCAACACCTTCAAATTGCGAAGTGCTGCACGGTATACAACAGTTGGCTAAAGATGTAACGTTATCTTGCTCTAATCAGTACGTTATGGGAAATAACAATATCTGCCAGTTACCTGAAAACTTTTCACATCCATCATCTCTCAGGCAACATCGACTGAGATTTAAAGATTGCAGCGAAGGGAGATCTGTAGAATTAAAAAAAAAGGTTTCGATAAGAGACACTAGTATTAGTATCCTTGTTCAATGACTATAGAAATCATTGCTGATTTCTTCTACGACTGCAACAACATGTTAACGTGATAAGATAAAACCAAATAGATAGGACATCCACATTTTCTGCATTACTGCATGTAATCCACGCCAATTAGAATCTCCTCTAGAAGCAACAAGGTAGAGAAAATACATTGCAATCTAAATGCAAGTGTAAATATCAGAGTGTAATCACATGAGGAGCGTTTTAAAGGCGACGAGAGAATGCAAACCTGAGATAGTATCCAAACATGAAGTAGTAACATGGGATCCTTCCATATTTAGTACAACAAGTTTGTTCAAACCTAAAAAATCATAAAGAGGAAAAAATCTCAATACAAAAGAAAAAGAGTCTATAAAGACAACAAAATAGATACTTAACATAAACTGCTCCGACTCTCCGAAAATATCGTCGGGTGTGCAGTGTATTTTTGGAGAATCAGACACGAGTGCGGCAGTATTTTGGAGTGTCTGCGCAACATAGACATAAACACAAAATGGATATACAAGCTCTAACAAGCAGCATGCAAAGGTATAGGTAGACTTCTGGGCCAGAAAGAGAAAAGCTAAGCTTATAGGACACTCTTATTTTCGATGTTTTATCTATCAAACTAACGTTTCCACTTTTTATTTATAACTGTTTTTTCACAACCACTAAAGTTACACAAGTCAAAGTACCATCATAAAACCCGTGTAAAGTCCAACACCATCTTATAAAATGAGACAGAGGGAGTTCTTAAAGTGGATTACTGAAAAGGCACAACTAAAGGTATATCGGAAAGGTAATTTAAGTGATACGGCAAGAAAAAGACTGTAAACTCTCAAGATCAAGTTGCCACTGAGTGTCTGAGTCTGTGACATATCGCCCGGCAAAAGGAAAAAGATTATTTTCACCTTCCTTTCAAATCAGAAACTGCTATGGGTCATACAACTTTTTTGCAACCAGCTAAGATTTAGTTAAAATCAGGCTTTACATCTAAAAAGTTTCTAGTTTCTCATACAAGATATCGAAATGCAAAGAAAGAGCTACCAGCATCAGGAGAACGAAATAAAGTTTTTATGTTCTTGCAAAAATCAACTCGACAGTCTTATAAACTGGAAAAAGTGAATAAAGCTATAGAAGCTGTGACCACCTTCGGCTTCAAGTTAGAAAATACTCGGTATGTGATTTAGAAGAGAAAGCAAGAATCACCATCATAAGACAATGCAAAAGCTATTACAACAGAAATACCAATTAGTACCTCTAAGATAAGACACTCCATAATCTGTTACGTAGATACACAGAATCTGAAGTTCCTTCAAACTCGCAAGCCCTGAAGTCCGTCACGCGAAAATGAGCAAATTTTCACATAATAACAAGCACAATAAGATGACATGTCTGAAGATTTTGAAGCACATTCACCGCTGATACCTGCCAAAGGCTTCATGTCCGAATCCGTAATGCACTGACAATATCTTATACTGAGAGATTCAAGTTTTGCCAAACCTGAAAAGAAAAAGGTACTCGATATTTTAAGTTGAACTTCACCAAAATGGTGGAATAAAATTCAAATATTAGTCGCGAATGATGATTATAACAAATAAAATTAAGTCATTTTTGAACTACTAAAAATAGAAAGCATAACCAACCTTGAAGATGAACAAGTCCTCCATGAATCTGTGGACACCTCTCGAAATCCAACTTAACCAATTTATCTAAGCTGGATAAAGCTTGCATTGCTTCAGCAGTAACCGAAACACATTTTCTAAAACTCAAATATGTCAAATTTGAGAAACCTGAAAGGCACAAATTTAACCATTGTCAGCACCAAACAACTCCTAAATGCGGTACAGACGTACAGTTTACTAGGAAACACAACAGATTGAATAACACAGAGATTAGTTAACCACATGATCAATGCTATAAATTATAATGTATATTTCTTGCGCTCTTTAAAGAAATGTGCTAAATAAAGCAAGAAAATGATACTAACAATTATGGTGCAAACAGCTAGATAAAACTAAGGCAAACAACACGATATCAATCGGAGAGAGAGAACAACATTTTTTTGCTTCATATAACACTCTCTTTCTATGGGAAAAACAGGCTTGCAAGAAACCAATTCGGATTGGCAAGTGAAATAAGAAACTATTGCGATTTGCGAGAGAGAATAGAAATAACTACCACTGACTTGCTTTATCCCCTGTTCAGAAATACGGTCACAGCAATCGAAAGATAACGCTTGGAGGTTTGAGCAATTTTGGAGGAGACTGAATCCAAAATCTGTGACCTCAGAACCAACAATATATACAGACAGTAAGGATGATCCTTGTGAAGAGACGACGTCCATCCAATTATCTGTAACTCCTTTATATTCTCCCATCCACATATCCTGTCAACACAAAAAACCTTAACAAATAGTCCTATAGGATCTTGTACTAAAAAGTCATTTCGTTTTCAAACTTCAATATGATATCGATGTGAGCTGGGATATTACATGCAGCGCACAATCTCTAAAAGCTTCGATACAATCATCCGAAAGGCGGTTTGAATACACCAAATTGTCGAATATCAACTGGCTTATATCCCTTGGCAGCATTGAGAATGATTGATATTTGTCAATGTCCTGTTAATAGAAGAGAGCATAAGATGTCCTTAACCAAAAGAACTCAATAACCTTAACGGCAGAGGCGGATGCAGCCTATACTAAATGAGTTCAGCTGAACTCAGTATTTTCAACACGTAACATGAATATATAAGTGCAAATCCCCTAAAATTTCAATAGATATTAACTTTTAAACCGATAATTTAAAAATAAAATGTGTTTAGTACAAAGAACAATAGAGGCTGAACCCGTTAAGTTTAAATCCGCGATCTGTCTCTACTTAATGGAGCATATTAGAGGAAATCAATCACCTTACGTATTTTATGAATGCATAATTCCATGAGAGCCGGACTATTGTTTCCTCTCGGATGACAATCTACGACACGCTCAAGAAGGAAGGACTGTAGACAATTTGAGCTCCCAAATTTGAAGTATCTACTTGAGAAACCTCTTCTACTAATGTTATCATCATCATGCTGGTCTCTCTTTAATGAACAAGCACCCCCCATTCCGGAATTACGTCAAGAAGACTCGCGTTATATTATCACGAGCACTAATAGAGAGCGGTATAATCCTTTCGAGAAAAGAGCACTCCCATCCATGTTGTAGATTCTGATTAGGCACCTAAAGGCCTGAAAGAGATAACGTCAAATTTCTTTTGAGTTTAAGTTCTGTGCACTGATAGTATATAAATTGACATACAACAACAGATAATTCTTCATCAACAAGCTTGATACACTAACCTATTAATAGAATAATAGCATGTTACAGTCGGTTAAATTGCACTGACAAAGTAAAGAATAATTAAGTGTCTGTTACTTTTCTTGTTTCTGGATTCTCCGTGTTGTATAACATCAAACATCATAGTCTTCACTTTATACACAAACAAGCATTTGTCATTTCTCAGAGTTTACTTTATATCATAGACATTTCTGCTAACAAATTCATAATTAGAAACAAAAATATTCCATACAGAACGCAAGAAAAGAGATTTAAGGGCAGCTCCGTACACTAAGCTCCCGCGCAGGGTCCGGGAAAGGGCCGGACCACAAGAAAAGCGATTGCATCATAAAAACAAATGTTTCAATACCAAATCCAAAAACTCATTAGATGACAAAAGAAAACAATCACAAATCAAAACCATATGTTTTCTAACCAAAATATAACCAGAAAGCATGTTTGCATGCAAAAAAAAAAAGAAGAAGAGAAAACATATAAATATTGTGTTTCATTTGAAGAAGAAATTAAAAAAATAAATAAATAGATTCACCGTAAAAGAGCAATTACATACCTTAAAAGAGGGAGTGCTCCAAAAGAACCTTTTTCTATAGAAATAGAATTAAGAATGGAGCTCAAATATATGACATTAAAAACAGGAGATGACAACATGATAATCAGAGAATGAGAGGCACAAACCAAGAAGCTTGTGGGTACATGCCACGTGTCCAAATCTTTGTTAGAAGAGTGGAATTTGCCTGGTTCGTTCATAGGATATAGTTAAAAAAATTAGATTTCTGGGAATTTGTGGTGCTAAACAAGTTAAAAAGAGGCGTATTTGTTTAGTTATAAAATTTCTTATTAAGGATAGAATTATAAATTTAAATAAAATTATTTTTAAATTTAAAAAAGGATATTTTTTTTTGGATCAAAAAGAAAATAAGTTCACGCAAACTGAAAAGGAGTGAGTACTTATATATTTTTTGAATGACAAGATAATTAAGAAACAAACATCTTTTTATGTCTTGGTTTCAATTCCTAGTACTGTGTTCTTTTGTTTTCTTCCTTTTTCTATGGCGTCACATGTTTTGTCAGCCTATTATTGAGCAGTGCAATATATACTACTAGAGGATAAGGATATATTATCAGAGGATACACTCTAAAACTTAGGGGGCGAAAGTAACTCATCCGAATCTCCTTCGTCGAAAATTTATTATATATAAAAAATAAATTTTTTTAATCTTCGCAAAAATTATGCATCCAAACAGTTTGATGCGCAAAGTATTTGTGTTCACGTAGGATTAAAAAAATCGCACCTCAAAAAAATATGATATAAACGATCTACACTAATACAAATATCAATAACTTATTTTATTACTCGAGTCCTGACCTATAGGTCATACAAAAAAAGATTCTGCTGCCACTAAATTGAGTTGCACATGCATAGGAATAACTGAATAGCCTTATACATTTGTAATGTTTACATTATTAAGTCACTTTTTTAGAAAATAAAAATACGTGTTACAAAAAAGAGAAACACGAGATAAACTAGAGATTGAAACATCTAAGTTCATGATTATAATGTAATAGAATATGTCACTATTTATATACAAGAAAAATAAAAAGGATACAAGGAAACAAAATATTTTACAATAAATATGGATCCTAAAAATATTCTATATTATTGTACTAAATTTTTCCTAAATAAATGTTACCATATCTTTAAAGTAATAAATATTCTGCATTGATGTACTAGAATATTCCTAGTACTATTAACATATTTTAACAAAATGTGGAACCTAATATAAATTAAATAAAAAGTCATGTACTTTTAGTTCACACATTTTCTTATGTTTTATACTTTACCCCCAACAAAACGACAAAATCTCAAATTCACATCCCCAAAACCCTAAAAAACTATATTCTTCAAAGTACAAAAACCCTAATCCCCCTTTCCTTTTTCAAATCTTTCTTCAAATATTCCGCTTTTGGACAGTCAAACTCAACCCTACCCTAGTAAACCCCCCACCCCCTCTACTTCTTTTTCAAGAAAGTTCTGATTTTGGGGTTTTATTTTACTCCTTTTTCCCCCATTTATACAGTTTTGTTTGGGCTAATTTTTGTAGGGAAAGTAAAAAAGAAAATGGAGGTCAGTAATTTGAGCTCTGAAGTAGCTGTTTTTGGGAGAATGATGATGGAGTCTGTTGTTGAAGCTGTATTTGCTGAGACCCTTTTGGCTGCTCAAAGATCTGTTGCTTCTTTGCTCATTGTGGTATAAAATTACAGTCTTTTTAACTTAAAACTCTTTATTTTTCGTGTAAAGTTTTGATTTTTATTGATGGGTTTTTGATTTCTTGCTCTGTTTAACTTACACTCTTTATTTTATTGAAAAAAGTTTTGATTTTTAATAGTGGGGTTCTGGATTTCTTGCTCTGTTTTTTGCTTGCTTGTTCATAGTAGTATAATAGACCAAGAAATTATAAACAGCCTCGTGCAGGGTAAGACTGCGTACAATAGAACCTTGTAGTCCGGTTCTTCGCTAGACTCCGCATAGGAGGAGCTTACTGCACTGGCTGCCCTTTTGTTCATAAGACTATAGCATAATTTTCCAACTTACACTTCTGTTTTCTTGTAAAGTTGTGATTTTTAATTGTGGGTTTTGAATTTCTTGCTCTGTTTAACTTACACTCTTTATTTTAGTGAAAAAGTCTTGATTTTTTAATAGTGGGGTTTTGGATTCTTGCTCTGTTTTGTTACTTGCTTGTTCATAATGATATATCACAGTTTTCCACTTACACTTTTGTTTTCTTTGCTATTGTTTGTTTGTTGCTTCATTTTCACTGGTCTTGAGCCGAGGGTCTATCTGAAAGAGACTCTCTACCTTCATATGGTAGGGGTAAGGTTTGCGCACACATTACCCTCCCAAGACCCCACTTGTTGGATTTCACGGGGTTTGTTGTTGTTGTTGCTGTACGCTTTTGTGTTCTTGTAAAGTTGTGATTTTTAATGATGGGTTTTTGGTTTCTTGCTCTGTTTTTCGCTTTTGTAGTTGTTTGAGCAGCTCTTTTGTTGATACACACACACACACACACACCGAAGAAGTTTGAGTCATTGCTTGATTTGTAATAGTGGTATAGCATAATTTTGCAACTTACACTTTTGTTTTCTTGTAAATTGTGATTTTTAATGGTGGGTTTTGGATTTCTTGTTCTGTTTTCTGCTTCTGTAGTTGTTTGAACAGCTATGTGTCAAATTTCATTGCTTCTTTCTTATGGATGGTTAAAGTTTGGAACTTTTTCTGTGCTTCATTAGGTTTGTTGCTCCAATGTTCGATATTATTCTCCAAGCTGCTAACTTTAGCTATTGTATACTAATATGTTATGTTCTTTGAAGTAATTTTGGACTGAAGAGCTCTGTTTATTCCTTTTTCTTGGCTGTTTGTAATGGAAAAAGCCAATTAGGTTACTAAGGTTAGTGTCATATGGCTCTTTTTCATTCGTCTGGGTGTGAAGTTGGAGTCGGCCAATTAGGTTCCCTCCTCTGTAAGCTTGGATGTGGAACAAATATCCATTAAATTCTAAAGGCTTAACGTAACAATCTATGTGGCTATAGTTAAAGAGTAAATTTTTTCCCCAAAAACTGAGGTTCTAGAGTTGAATTTCTGTCGAGAATCAAAACCCAGTTGGTTAAAGTTAAAAGATTGGAAACGTAGGCACGGACTTTCCAGAATAAGCGGCAAACAGTTGCCTTGAAATGCCTTAAAGTGAACTGCTGTTCCACATCGAAGCGTACACCGGAGGGAACTAAACCAAAGAGGAGCCGAGACCAACTAATCTGGCTTCATCACCTTTTGCAAGAATGCAGTTAATAGACAGCTCTATCAACCTGTTTTCCATGCCCTCTTTTTAAAAATGAGTGCTTTGGTCGTCTTCCCTTTGTTTAATTAAAGCTTCTGATGTTCTAAATCTTGTGATAATAGTTGCAAAATCTTCATCCAGAACTCTTGGAACTATGTTATGTCTTTGGATTATAGTTGGCTCTGGCCCCTTAGTTCTTCTGGTTTCTTTCTCTTTATTGGTCTCCTTAAGCATAAGAAACATTTGAATTCTAGCGCACTAGCCTTAGCTAGACTCCTGCTTCAAGTGCTGACTTTAATTAAAGCTGGATGGGCAATATCTGCTTAATTTTACACAGCCTCATCGGATGAAATAATTTCCCTTGCCTAAATGCGATTTATCATTTAACACCTTATTCCTCTCATATGGACAAGTTATTTGTGACCAATAGTTTTTGTGTGCCATTGATATCAACAATAGATCACCTTTTTGGTACACATTTTTTAGCGGTCAAAGTTGAACTTTATATTTAAATTTCAACAGTATTATGAAATTTAGGAAAGACGTAGGGACTAGTGCAATATGAATGCTGTAACTATTTCCAAACTATTTAAGAGGCTTAATTTTGTGTATGCATGTGAGAAAATTGAAATTCAAAGATGTAGTCCTCTTTCTTTCCCCAATGAATCTGGGAATAAATACCTTCTTCTGCCTTATTAAGAAAAGTGAAACTGTCTATTGCATCAAGCGCTGTTTAATCTGTATTTTCTCGCTTTTTATCAGAAAAAGTCTACGTTTTCTTGCTCGTTGCTACTCATCAATGAGCTTATTCAGTTTAGTTGCCCTGCTGTCCTTTGTGTTTTGATTGAACTCTACAATGACGGCCTAGAAACTTCTTGTTCCGCAATTTCGCTCATATTGGCATAGTTCCCTTATCAATGTTGGTTATGCTTCAGGCAGGAACTATGCTCAAGTATGCTAATGCATTGCCAGAGTTGATAGGCGCTGAGAAAAGGTACTCCTAATTGCTAGCTTTCCTGTATTCATAGCATGCGGAACTATAAGTTTCATGTGGAAAACACCAAACTCTGATGTCATTTTCAGGTTTCCATTCGAAGAGCTCCATAAAATGGAAAAAGCTGGAGTTGAGAACAAAGATGGCAGTGACACAGAGGACGATGAGGATGATGATGGAGACGCTGATGATCAGGACGACGATGATGCTGACGATGAAGACTTTTCAGGCGAAGAAGGGGAAGATGATGATGAAGAAGGGGATCCCGAAGAGACTCCAGCGGCTAATGGCAACGAAGGCAGCGATGATGAAGACGACGAAGATGATGAAGACGATGAGGACGGGGATGATGATGAGGAAGAGGAAGACGAGGAAGATGACGAGGACGAGGAGGATCAACCACCCGCCAAGAAGAAAAAATGAACCATTTCCTAGTATATGTTTGTTCTGCTTTTCAGCCATGTTTGAAGTATGTAGTAGTAGGAAGAGGCAGTTTTAGCTTTTCTCTAGGAATTAACCATCCTTTTGCAGAACAAATGAACTACTTTTGTCATGCTATGAGACTGTTTAGTTGTGATATATATTCCATTTAATCCAATGAATATTCTGGTTTCCTTGTTAAGGTAATCCAAATTAATTTGAAAATTAGATGATTTAACTTTCGTACTATAAATTTCATTAGGGTAGGCTATCTACATCACACCCCGTTGGGATGTGGCTTCTCTGAATTTTGCGTGAACGCGGGATGCTCTGTGCTCCGGACTGCCATTTGTTTACTCTACATTTTATTGACATTTCACACTATGATGCCTGCTATAACAAGTGGCCAAAAGGGGGAGTTTTCAACATAACTTGAAAAAAAGGGCAACCCGGTCCACAAAGGTCTATTGTTCACCGCCTTATCCTGCATTTCTGCAAGAGGCTGTTTCCACGACCTGAACTTGCAGCAAGAACTTTACTGGTTACGCTAAGGCTCCCCTTCTTTTTCAACATAATTTGAAAGCGTAAAATTGATTTTTTTTTACACTGTCAGTGCATAGAACATAAACTCTTTTTCAAAAACATATAAGCAAAAGTTTATTCAACCGACTAAACGCCTAACAAAAAACTTCAAATTTCTAACTTTCGCTCTCATTTTCAATCAACCAAATCCTACATTCACTACAATTTTGCATCATAAAAAAAAACCAAGAGCTTAATTCAACCAAACACTGTCAATTCCATCTTCAAATTGCAGATATTGGAGATGGTGCAGGACTAATGCTGCAATAATAAATCAAAGTATCACCAAAACTAGGATTAAATGGAAATATTTTAGGCCAACAATTACTATCAATGCCAGTAACAACTTCACAACAAGTAGAATCAAGCCATCCAATTCCAGTAAATGCTTTATAAACTCCTGTTACACATCCACTTATACTTTCAAGAGATGACCAACATTCAAAAATATCATCACTTGGACTTGGTGCAAATATTGGATCAGGTCTGGCCATTACTACTGAATTTGCCATTCCTAATATAATGAAAAATGCAAATAGTTTCAGATTTTTTGTTGCCATGATTTCTTGAAATGTTTTCCCCCCCCTAGTTTTGAGAATTTTCTTTTTGGATGGTGTTTGTGAATTTTTGTGTGACAATATAAAGGTATTTATAGGGAGATTTTGGAGTCAAAAAGATCATTTATATCATATTTATGAAATGCATGTTTAGCTATGTATATTTTACTACCAAAATGCGTTTCAGTTTTAGTCAGTTGTAATTCTCATTATGACTATTTATGCAGAGATAAAAGTTAAAGAAGGGAGCCTTGGAGTAACGGTAAAGTTGTCTGGAGCCAGGATTTGAACCTTGCGGGTTCGGAATTATAATACATTTAAGTTATTGGGTTCTAAATTAATAAGTTGTACATATTCAATGAATTTCTTAAGACAAATACATGGTTTGAACAAAAGTTACCGGACTCAGCCGAACCCGCATCTCACACTCTATCTCCGCCCCTGTCTCCGGGTGCCTATAGGTCACAGGTTCGAGCCGTGGAATCAGCCATTGATGCTTGCATCAGGGTAGGCTGCCTACATCACACCCTTGGGGTGCGGTTCTTACCCGGAACTTGTGTGAACACAAAATGTTCATGCATCGAGCTGCCCTTTAGCATATTGAACTTAGTTAAAATTTTAACGTTAAGGATTATTATCTTGTGTATCGTACTGGCTTACCCTTGTTAAGAACTCGTTTCATTGGATGAAATTTCAATAAATTACATTTGTAAGAACCACAAATTGGCTTTAACTTTAACTATCAAATTTCTTCGAACAATGATGTCGAAAAAGGAACCTTTTCAATTTATTCTAAATTAGAGATATAAACAGTTTAATTCATTCCTTTAAGCTGAATCTTTGTTATTTTAAGACATGAAACAGTGCAAGTACAATAAGAAAAATTAGTTTATAATTTTTTTTAGGATGACTTAGATTAAAATTGAGGGTCAAGGACTGAAATTAATGCATCAACAAATTTAAAGTAATTTACTATAGTACTTACAGAAAAATAACTCCTTCCTAAAGAAAGCAATAAATACTAATACTAATAACATCTTTTAAATATATCAATTAAATATTAACATTAGACAACCAAAAATTAAACTCATGTAACAGTTTCAATATGTCACTATTATTTCTTGTTAATATGCATATAAATACCACAACCCCACCTCCAAAATATTTCATACTCACAATCCAAAGTTCATACAACAACATTACAGCATAAACACCGGGTGCGAGTAAATTTTTTTCTCCCCGATGACGAGCCCGAAAACCTTATATTCAACTATCCTAATTGTTTTATGCATGTCAATTGTGACTACACCTTGTTTTGGTCAATTACTTGGTGGATTATTACCAAATTTTGGAGGAATAGGTCCTGATTCAATTACAAAATGCTTAACATCAGTTAATGATGTTCCTAATTGTATTGAAGAAATAATTACATCTTTTTTGAGTATTCAACTTCATTTACTTGGTCCTCAGTGTTGCAAAGCTGCTTTGGATATAGATGATGGTTGTTGGCCTAAGATTTTCCCTTTTAATCCATTTTTTCCTCCTGCTATTAAGAGTTTTTGTTCGGCTGAAGCTCAAATACTGCCTCCGCCACTTTTATAATAAGCTTTGAGAAAGTGGAAATAAGATGTTTGATATTTTCTTTAATATCAAACCAAAATAAAAGGGATGAGGGATAGTGGTGATTGTTTTTTTTAATATGTTTAAAATGGAAAGTATTTTAGTCGTCGGAGTTATCAAGGGGTCGTGGTGGATGGATGTGATCTCTCCACCTTTAACTAGAGACCCCTGGTTCGAGTCTTGGGAATAAAAAAATTCTGGTAAAGAGCGTTTTCCTCTTGGATGAACCTTATTGACGTGAATTTGGATTAATCGGCAGTTCTGAATACACGAGGGTTGTTAAAATAAAAATAAAGAGTAGTCTTTTGAGTTAAGCAATTCTTATTGTATTGGTTTTTAGGTTGAATAAAGTTGGGTTATCTTTTTCATGAATATCTCTCTCAGCCTCTCTATCATTCAGTTTGCGTGAAAATTGATAGTTTATTTCGAAATAATTTCATCATATAAACCAGATTAACCATAATATGTGCAAAATATAAATTCTACTAGCAAGACAATGGATATATATAAAAAAAACACAACAATCTCCACATTTTACTACGGTCATCTTTTACACACTACAAAAAAAAAATTGAAATTAGTTACCAACTTCATCGCTAATCTATCACTAAATCGCTTATAACTAATAAAATTTCTTGATAATCTGTTGCTTCCGTCGCTAAATAGGAGCAACGAATTTTCTTTTTAGCTACAGAATTTGTCTCTAATTCTTGCTTTTTTATTAGTGACAAATCGGATCGAATGGATTGACTATTGCCTTTTAATATATGTCCCTGAAATAGTCATTGAATATTTGATCTACTTATATCGGGAGAAATTTAAAAATAGCCAGATTTACCACTGGTCGTTGAGAAATAGCCAAGTTTCAAAAGTCATCGAAATTTAGCCACTTTAAATCTGAGCAAAAACACTGTTCAAAATCCGGAAAAATACGCCCGCAAATTTTACGGGAGTTCCAGCATAAGTATGCTGGAACTCCCGCAAATTTTACGGGAGTTCCAGCAAGTATAGTTGTCCAGTATAATATACTGGAGTTTGGAGCACTGGTGCTCCAATCTCCCGCAAATTTTACAGGAGTTAGCAAAGTATACCGGTCCAGCATAATATGCTGGAGTTCGTACACAAATGCACCAGAACTCCCGTATATTATACTGGACCGGTTCCTGTTGCAGCAAAATAGTGGCTATTTTTTATTGACTTGATAAACGCTGGCTATTTTTCATTAACCAGTGTGAAAACTGGCTATACCATGATATTTTAACACTTATATCCTATCAGAAGCTCTACATTGCTTATAATATGAGGTACATTTTTTTGTAAATAATTTCTATGACAACTCAACTAAGGTCTTGTATTTACCTTTTACAATATTTTCTTAACGAAAATGAATTAGAATAACGTTGAATTAAGATTTTTTACGATTTGTTTGTTTTAATCATTTCTGAAACTTAAAAAAACTTGAAAGTTGTTCTTCAAATAGTTGTAAGTTCTTAACATTTTCTTTGATTTGAATTCTGAATCTGTTTCATATAATTTAAGTGGACAATTAATTAACCTAGCCTGTTACCTGAGCAGTCTATAAACTAATATAACCTAACCTGTTACTTGAGCAGAAGAGGGACACAAGCAAAGGGAGAAAAAAATTACCCAAAAAAAATAAAATAAAGAGAGAGAATGATATTTTATGGATTTAACTTATAGTATATACTGATGACTTAAAGAATTTTTACTCTAAAATGTGAAAGTATCGAACCTTATTTTGTCAGATAATTAGTATACGAACGACTATATGTAATTATCTTTTACGAAACCTAATAATGTAAAAGTTCTTTTACACGGTCTTAAGTATATAATTTAAACTCTTTTTATTTATGCATGATCAACGGTCTGTAAGAATTTTAAGAGCATGTGGCCATTCACAACATGCATGAAAAATTAAAAATATGCAATGTTTTAGGCCGAGGGGAACCAAAAAAGACCACCAAAATAACCACAAATGAAAAAGCTAACAAAATTTTCAACTTCTCTTTAGTATATAGAATCATTTACTCTAGGGAAAAGAATGTTGATTTTCTCAACTCTGCAAGACATTTCGCCATTATCAACACCAAAAAATGATTGAAATAAAGTTAGAAGGGCGAAAGGAGGAGAGAGAGATTTTGGTGAGGGACTATCGACATGTTCCGATTATAATTTGTTCCATTTATCTTAAAAGATCTTGAAGAGAAGACCACCGTGGGTGGCGAAAAAGGGAGCAAACACGAGTGATTCGACAGCCATCAGCTTGATAAGAATGTTCAATGATGGTCCAGATGTGTCCTTGAGGGGATCACCAACAGTGTCACCAATGACAGCGGCCTTGTGTGGATCAGACCCCTTGGGACCAAGAGTTCTTGCATGTTCTGAAGCTCCAGCCTAATATCACAAAACCAACACGAATAAA